TCATTAAATCTACAGTGGACCTGACCTATCTTCACACTAAATACGAAATTTTTGTTTCGTCTTTTATCGCTTGTTTGTTTCCTAATTGTATATTATTTTCTTCCCTCACCTCTTTCTTAATTTCTACAGCTTACCACCACTGTTGTTTACTTGACTTTCGTTTAGTTTTAGTTTTAGTGAAGCTCTAGTCAACCCTGTCAATTAGATAACGTCACTCGACTTGCTTATTTAACATTATTTAAGTTTCTAACCTATTAACGAAATATGCCATCTAAAATCTACAATTCTAATGACAAGTCCTTCGAAGTATTCATCTTGTTGCTAAGTAAATTTACTATAATAATGTGATTGTACATCTTGAGGATGATATCTTCGAAAAAAGTAACTATTCACTGAACTCTTCTCATTTATATAAAGTCAGTTACTCAATTCAGTATACAAAAGGTGCGTTAACTTGATCGAATTCATTTAGAAACTGAAACTGTTCGAATAAGTTGTAGTTAACAGTTAGAATCACAGTGCGGAAATAATGCCTTATAATTCCATTTCATTTCAAAATGATGTATTGATGAATGATCGAATGGAAATGAAAGTTTGAAAATAGAGACACTCTGAAAGTTGTAGCTAAAGACTATATAAAATAAAAAAAATTATTACCGCATTAAAGTTAAACACTCATGAGCAAAATGATTTCCTAACTAGTGTCTTTGATACCTATTTTGTGACGAAAGTTAGGTGAGAACTACTCCAGTCGGTAAAAATTCTGAGGAAAGTTTTCATACATTTGAGTCATTAAATAAAACAGATGAACCAACTTAGGCGTGGTGTGTATTAACTGAAATAAAGAATTAAGGAAAAAACAAATAGTCAACAGCGGGTTTCTTCAATTTCGTGATATATTTTACAACGACTTATACCATTTGCAAAACTGTTTCATAACTGAGAAGATGTGCAGTCATTTATATAAGATTATTATTTATTATTATTGTATCCTTTAATTCCTAGAGGAACATAGGGCTTCAGCTGCGTGTCCCCATTGCCATCGGTTTTCTGACAACTTTTTCACCCAGCTCCAAGTCTGACCATCTGCTTTCATCTCCTCCTGACATGACCTCCTTCAAGTCACCCCACCCTATCACTGACGACCAACTCGCCACCCGCTTCCCTTTCGGGTTCCACTCGAGAAATGGTTTGTCTAGTGATTCCACTCACTTGATGGTTTCCTCAGAGTATGACCACATTCCAATCCACCTCCATTTCTTCCTGCCCATCTGTTTCACAATCAGTTCCTGGTTGGTTCGCTCATTGACAGAGATCTCTGTTGCTGATCTTCTCTGGCCGGCCATCTGATCTTGAGTGGTATTGAGCGAAGACAACTGCTGTTGATGAAGGTCTGTAGCTTGTTTGAGATGCTCTTTATGACGCTCAGTGCAAGTCTCTGATCCATCCGTATAGTAGCACTGACTTCACATTGGAGTTGAAAATCCGAATCTTATTTTTGATGGTGAGTGCTTTTGACCTCCACACTCACTCGAGAATACTGAAAGCTTGTCTTGCTTTTCCAATTCTCGCTTCGATATCCTCGTCAGTTCGGCCTGTAGTTAAAAAACGATGCTTCCCAGGTAGGTAGGTAGGTAGGTAAGTAAAGGAGGTTGTTTCTTTCAGTTTCTTCCCATTTATGCTGGCGTACTGTTGTCTGTTGTTGTAGTTGCTGTTGGTGTTGGCCAGGAATCTTCATCATCTCTGTTTTATCTATGTTAATCTGGAGGAGGTCCTATCTTCTCTAGATGCTTCTTCTGCCAACTTGTTGCTTTTCACTTGCATATCTTCCAGTTTGTGGGAAATCAGACATATATCATCAAGGGCGAAGTCCAGATCCTGCAAGTTCTTTTTTTGTGTGAGTCCATTTTATGCCCGTTTCCTAGTTGGTTGCCGTTGTCTGTCGCATTATCCAATCTACTGCAATCAGGAAGATCATTGGTGATAGTAGACAGCATAGACAACTAAATGCTGAAAACGTCTTTCTTGTCTGACCATCAGACATTATTGTTATTTTAACCTTAATATTTCTGTAGCATAGTGAAGTGTATGAAGGAATTTTAGTTACCCACCTAATCATCATCCGTACTTTCTGAACTCTGTATCAATCAGAAGACCATCTTTACTTATTCAACACGCAACAATAGTTTGTCTTCTTAAGTGTAGCTTTATTGGAAGCCTTCAAAGCATGTTCCGTTTAACCACCGCTTTTCTGATTTCTTATTAATTTGTTACACTTCCTGTGAGTTCAGTATAGAGGAAACATTATATTGCTTCCTGACTTTGAAAAGGCCTTCGACAGCAACGATCGAGATGTGATTTGGCAACTACTTCGCTACTACCAAGGGGTCCCATCGACAATTATACATCTCATCCAACAGTTATACGACAATGCTGGATGCCAAGTAATCCACAACGGAAAACTCACGGAAGCCTTCGAAGTGAGAACGGGAGTGAGGCAAGGCTGTCTATTATCACCAATGATCTTCCTGATTGCAGTAGATTGGATAATGCGACAGACAACGGCAACCAACTAGGAAACGGGCATAAAATGGACTCACACAAAAAACTTGCAGGATCTGGACTTCGCCGATGATATATGTCTGATTTCCCACAAACTGGAAGATATGCAAGTGAAAAGCAACAAGTTGGCAGAAGAAGCATCTAAGATAGGACCTCAGATTAACATAGATAAAACAGAGATGATGAAGATTCCTGGCCAACACCAACAGCAACTACAACAACAGACAACAGTACAGCATAAATGGGAAGAAACTGAAAGAAACAACCTCCTTTACTTACCTACCTCTACCTACCTGGGAAGCATCGTTTTAACTACAGGCCGAACTGACGAGGATATCGAAGCGAGAATCGGAAAAGCAAGACAAGCTTTCATCGCTCTCAAGTCTGTGTGGAGGTCAACAGCACTCACCATCAAAAATAAGATTCGGATTTTCAACTCCAATGTGAAGTCACTGCTACTATACGGATCAGAGACTTGCACTGAGCGTCATAAAGAGCATCTCAAACTAGCTACAGACCTTCATCAACAGCTGTCTTCGCTCAATACCACTCAAGATCAGATGGGCCAGAGAAGATCAGCAACAGAGATCTCTGTCAATGAGCGAACCAACCAGGAACTGATTGTGAAACAAATAGGCAGGAAGAAATGGAGGTAGATTGGAATGGTCATACTCTGAGGAAACCATCAAGTGAGATCACTAGACAAGCCATTGCTCGAGTGGAACCCGAAAGGGAAGCGGGTGGCGAGTTGGTCGTCAGTGATAGGGTGGGTGACTTGAAGGAGGTCATGTCAGGAGGAGATGAAAGCAGATGATCAGACTTGGAGCTGGGTGAAAAAGTTGTCAGAAAACCGATGGCAATGGGGACACGCAGCTGAAGCCCTATGTTCCTCTAGGAATTAAAGTATAATATATATATATATATAGTTGTCTATGCTGTCCTTTTAACTTGCGGTTGTTACGAAGCGGTTTTAGTTCAATATGTGAACTTCAAACTCTTCAAGACGCTATACCACATAATGTGTAAAGCCCAAACCAGCTTGATTTTTATGATAGAATGCTTAGTGAAACTAAATAGTTGCATAAATTTAAAGGGATGAACTGTTCACATCTAATTTGCCTAACGTACAGGTTTACGGAGTATGATTCGAAGTAGGTTTTTTTTTTAAAGCTAGGAGTGTTAATTGTTCTTTAATTCATGATTATAATTCATAATCAACAGAAAATAAATTGACCAATGTGAAATTATAGTGAAATAATTTACCCACTTTACTTTGAATGAGTAGGTGAAGATAAGATCCAGCCATACTTGTCGAGCTTCCATCAACCATTAAGTATTGCTAGATATCGCAAGGTAGGTAAGTCTTACAACTAGTCTCATCAGATTATGTTCTTTTGCTCACTCACATTGTTAATGTCCCCCATTCTAAATCTGGTTTGTTTTGAGTGTCAATACTTTTTATAAATTTTATCTAGAGCTTGAACGGCGACAGTTCTCTCACCCATCTATTATATATTCCTTAAAGTACACCATATTATATGGTCTGATCATAGAAAACGTTTTATTAACTGCGAACATCAATTTGTTATTTTAGGAAATCTGTCCGGCTATTTTAAGTCAAAGCCACTGTAGTGATATGAAAACTGTCATATAAAATGTTTATCTGTTTGCGTAAAACACCGAAAGTTTAATTTTTCCATGAACGTTGAATGCTTTTGATGTATATCAAAGAAGCTGATAGTTTGAATATATCCTGTGCTGGTTGACAGTCATAAGGAAGGTGCATTTGTAAATCTGCTGTCGACTAACTTATCTGAAATATGTTCGGAACGAGAGCGATACGACTTATGATTACTGACTTGTGTATAAGAATCGACTGTCAGTTCGCCACTAATCATGTAACTTAATAAACCAGACAGGTTTGTTTTTTCAGTTCAGGTAAATCGTGTCATCGTGACCTTACGGACTTATAACCTTGAGTTTCTTGAGTTTCAAACCAGCGAATAAAAACCTAGTGAGCTACTGTATGTTTTATAAACTGAAAATTCTAGTCAATTATACAAGTATAACCTATGTTTTCATTATAAGTGTAAGATAGCAATCTTGCTAAATGATCTACTGTTCATAAAATTAAGTTCTACATGTGGTTTATATTAAAAGTTGACAAGCGAAAAAACTATTCAAAGACTGTAGAATAAGTTCATTGGCAAGTAATTAAATGTAAAGTTTATTAATCCAGTATCTGTTCTTTCACAGGACCATTTGACGGCATTACTGAACATCACCAAATTAGCAACAATGAATAAACAGACATTAACTGTTAACCTGTTCATAAATACTTTCGTATTTGAATAGAAGATGAACTGAAACAAAGATTTTGTTTATTAGATAGCTATTTATGTATGCAGCTAAATAACTCAAAAAAGGTAACTACTCACGTCTTAGTAAAGTTTAAAAGATGCAGTGAAATCCAAACTGTACCAAGAAGTAGTATTAGGTAAACTAAAGCAACTTCCCGTTGACATCCAGGTTGGGTAATGATAATAGTCCTGTTTGCCTCTTGTGAGGTTCCAGATGATGATTGGGAGAGTGAAAATGTGGATGCTGTTTGCGTTGTTGATGATGACGATGATAATGATGATATATCAGGACAAATCTCGATAAAAATTCTGTTATTCATATTTGTTAAATTCATATAACTTTTATCGAATCCCTGAGTTTTGAGTGTATCATTGAGTAGTGAATAATATGCGGATGATTTACAATGATAATTCTCTTTAAATGCTGAAATAACAGCAGAAATAAAAGTGAAAAATAAAAGTTATGGTAACATGAAGCTGTTTACAGATAATATTAAAGCTGGAAAAGGTAATATTTTCAAACAAATATATGAAACACACGACATAAATGGCTTGAAATATTGGAGACAAATATCATAAAACAGAATAATCAAAGTGCAAACAAATGGGTCTTAAATTTCCCATCATTCCCAAATATATTTTTGATTTCCTTATTGAATACCACTTGCCACACGAGTTTACTTTTTTCTATCGGTAGTAAATTTCCCTTAACGTTTGATTATATGAACGGCTGTTTTGAATCCCATGTTTATATTAACCAATCAGTTTTTCAGGAAAAAATATTTAACAAGTTAGTTAAATTCAGACAACGGACAATATCACTGAAGAGCTGTTGAGACCCGAAAAGAACTTGGCATTTTGTAAATTTGGGATTCGTGAATTCAAAGGAATATCGCACTTAGAAATTATGATGAGCTATGCGTTTTGTAGAAAAGTCAACACTCATTGTAGCAGTTCTCTACTTCAACTGATTTATGCTAGTATACAGTAAGAAACTAGAAATCACTAAGCATCCATTTCATCCCACGGTGAATATGATATTCCGACGAATGTGAAGCAATTATTCACTACAGTGAAATTTTATACCAAAACTACTATAATATCAATTTCACTATTTAATTATTGTAAGCATAGTTTCTGTTGTACAACAGCTTATGAATGTTCTTGGAATGACTGTAAGAAACTTCAGTTAAATCAATTGTTGAAAAATTCCGTATGATTTTACTATGTTACGCAGATATTATGACACACAGAATAACGTCTCTGCGAGCATCTAAATAATACACAAACCCAGAGAATATGCCTTTCAACAGGCTTCTGTTCTGATTCATTATCTGTGAGACAAAATGCTGCTTGCACTTCTGAGGAAGCCATTTACTAAAATAGCAAACGAGTAGCATTTAAAAAACATTTTATTCGCAAGATCTATAAAATTTTGATCATTGAATTCCTCTCTATCTCGTCTGGGTTTGTCACTAGCTCAAGTGTGTTTCGTGCCTTACTTAAGCTTATTACTTTTATGTTACTTGTACTGTCAAACAGATTGTATAGTTCACTCAATTTTTCAGCAGTTAACAAAGTATTTAGTCAAACCCGGAGTGTTATGAACTGAACTGGTTCTCTTAGTTGAATCGAAATGGATGCATCAATTGTATCATTCAGAGAAAAGGTTACCCATGGATAGTTAACGTAAATGACCGCATATAACTAATTTTGACGTGATTAATCGTTTCTGTCATTAAGTTTGTTTTCAATTGCAACAGCTAAATAAAGTTGTTTTGTATGACCCAACCTTCATTTATTGGGCTCTGAAGAGGTACGTGATCATGTTTATTAAGGCTTTCTGATGGTGTAGGCTTCTTATTTTAGTTATATTGAAAATCATCCTCCTGCTAATGAATGTATTAGTCATAAGAACGAAAAGTAGATTTCACTCACTTTTTATTAACTTCTCAAAGGCTCTGAAAAAAGAGTCCTGGAGATAAGAGATTCACAGGTGTATATTATGTCAGAGAATTTGTTTACATCTGAATGATAAGACGGAGTTCAGGAAATGAGGTTATTCCGACCACTTGTAATTCATGTGAATCATTTAAATGACACTATTCCTCTTATCAGATGACATTTTTCTGAATGTTTGATTTAATTTTCGACAACGTCTAAAGGAGCTTAGATCCTTTTTTGTTTATACTTTTTGATGTTCTGATGTTGAACAGTAGCAAAAGCCATACCATTAAATGGTTCATATTAGAACTATTTTATCGCGTAGCTATCAGCTGACAGGAGTCAGGCTTAGAGTTTATCTAACTGCTTATTCTCTGTAAATGTAAGTAATAATAATAATTAAATCCGGGACATATGCTGCAACATTTTGTACTCAAAGTAATCCAAGTGTTTTTCACCTATGAGTCGTTGAACAGTCTACTAAACGAGGTTGCATCATGTAAAAATAGCTAAATTTACAATGTTAGTCAGTACGTTATATCACTTTGCATTCTGAATTTCTAAATAACTTACTTGTATATAAGTCGTTTCCAGCATCATATACAAATGCCATTGAAACAAACATTGCAAATATTTCTTCTGTTGATCTGTTAAAAATAGGAAAGTAGAATTAATACAGGTAGTCAATATTTATGGGGCAAGAATGAAACAATAGCTTCGCATTAAAAATATATTTTATAACATAACAATTTTAATTAAAATCTTTATTACAAGTTGATTGGTATCGTATTTGAGTAGTTAAAAGTAACGGATTGAGTGAGTTTCTGGTATATATACTAAAAATAAAATCCTAAAGATTATACCATTAGGAATTAAAATGCTTGCACCGATAAAACGGTCATACTTTACATACAAGTGCATGGTGAGACATCAGTCTCTTTACAGTTGTTAATCAGCCGCTTTTTCTGTGAATCACCTACTTATCAAGTGAGTTTATTCTTTGATTAATATCTTTCGGCAAACGGTTATATAAAGAATAGTGCCAAATCTCTGCACTAGTTTACACCAGCACATTCAAGAGTTACAGATTACACAATGCTGTGGGTCGACAGGTATTTCGATGACATATTACTCTTATGTGTTCACTGAAGTACTTGACAGTCTTGGGGTCAGTGACACAAAAAATGGAAAGTGTTCAGTAGTGTGGACATAAAAGAATTAGTCATTAAGTTGCTTAGCTTTAGATGTTATGTGAGTAATTCATATTCATCACGGGACTGATTCACTTTGAAATTTATTAGCAATAAAATTTTAACTAAATTAAATGGTTTTGATTGTACTGTATATTATTCTAGTATCTTATCAAATTTGTCGATAAGTATCAAGAAATCACTTCCAGTTATTAATGGAGGAGATAGAATATAGTATAAATTAACATAGGTTTACTACATCTGTTATTCCGCTAACTTGGGTCTTCCTATACATATCTTGTCATCCTGAATTGAATATAAGTGACTGTAACTGTAAACTGACATAGAAAATTTTCTAATTCAGTATCCATATCCGGAATATCAAGATTCACGAACTTCATTTCGTAAGCACAAAGAAGTGAGAAAGATATCAATTACTGATTGTTAATTCATTCCAAAATCTTAGACTGATCACTGTTTAATGTGACTCACATGACAAGTATCATGAAGATTTTATGTATGTAGATGTATATATACTACGGCGTACCTCATATATCCATCTAACCTATTCAACAGTTGCACGACAACGGCACATGTCAAGTGATCCACAACGGAAAACTTAGCAAGGCGTTTGGAGTAAACACATGAGTCAGACAAGGGTGCTGGCTTATTATCACCAATGAATGATATTCCTAATTGGAGTGGACTGGATTATGCGTCACACAGTGAGTGGGAAACGAGAAAACAGGGATATCCTGGACCGACGCGAAGAACCTAAAAGACCTGGATTTCGCGGAAGATCTATGTTTGATGTCACACAAAATCGAAGACTTACAAGCGAAAACCGACAAACTGGTCGAAGAAGCAGCCGGCGAAGATAGGACTCCAGGTGAACATAGACAAGACGGAGGTTGTGAAAATAACCAACCAACCAACAACAGCAACATCCAGTGCCAATCACTATCAACGGGAGAGATTTGAAAGAGGTTACTTCATTCACTTATCTAGGGAGCATTGTCTCAACTACAGGAAGTCGGAACGGACGAGGATGTCAAATTGAATATTGGGAAGGCAAGAAACATATTCATCAACCTGAAACCAATCTGGAAGGAAATCTTCGTCACTCAGCCAGCATCAACAACAAATTTCGGTCGGATTTTCAATACAAACAACGTCAAGTCAATCAGTTCTTCTATACGGAACGGACCAGGAACTTGGCGGGTGGGTCACAAAGAATATTTCCAACAGCCTGTTGCAGACGTTACCTTTATCAACAACTGTCTTTGCTGGATCTATACTGAAGATCAGATGGCCAGGCCGGAAAGAATCACCAACAAGAAACTATGGCTGGGAACAAACAAAGCAAGAACCAATCGCCAGCCAACAAATTTGCAAGAGAAAGTGGAGATGGATTGGACACTCTCTGAGGAGGCCACCGGGTGACAGCGCGTTAGGCCATTGCTCGAGTGGAACCAGTTTGGAAGGGAAGCGGCAAGTGGGACATCAGTGCAAGGGTAACTTGGAGGAGATCGTGTGAAGAGGAGTTGAAACAGTGTGGACTAACATGGATGGATGCAGGTGAGAAGTACAGCAGAAGACAGAAGCAAGTGGAGACGTGCAGTTGAAGCCCTATGTTCCACTAGGAACCCAAGGGAACAATAATAATATATATATAGATAAAAAAAGAAGGATAATTTAACGGCTGCTCACCTTGTGGACCATTTCATCCAGCGACTGAATCCACAAAAGGAATATATAATTAAGAAGAGGCTATTAAATAATCCGATACATGCGTACATTGCATAGAAATTAGTGTTGTATGTTTGAGATATGGTGTAGATAACTAGAACAGAAACAAAAACAGAAATGTTTACAAAATTAATTCAAAACATAAGTCAGAGGTTGTTCTCACGTAGTAACAAAATAAATCAGTACATGGGTAACATTTTATTTGCGTTGTATGTGTGTCAGTGTTTAAGTTAACAACTACGCTTAAACAAGAATACAAAAGGTTAGTTAATGCAGTTGTGATGACAGGGGGTAGGGAAATTCATGTGTACGCGATGGAAGGACATGTCAAAATAGGTCAGCGTAATGAGGTATTTATGAATTTGCAGACTGCACAGCAGGTTAGGGCAGTAACAATGGTTGGACCTGTTCCTTCTGCACACGAGAACCGGTTGTTTTAAGTGAATTGCAATAGCCCCTGCTGTTTGAAACATTCGGTGCCTGGATGCTTTTGGCAATTTATTTGGACATCTTTAATCAACTGATAATTTGTTAAGCGATGAATCCTGTTTTTTCATGACTCAAAAGAAAACTATTTTCGGACTTTTAAGCCTTTCTAGTGTTTTAAATTTTTATCTGAACCACTTTCACTTCTTCATCCTATTGTTTCCAGTCAATTATTTCCAAATAACTATTCATCTTCTAGCTAATTAGTTGTCCACTTCTTAGATTACATAAGATTATTCACTGCTTTGAGCACATTACTACTTCTCATACACGCTTCCTTATTTTGTTAGAAGATGAAATGATGTGAATGTTTGAGATTCACATGTCTTAAATGCCGTACGGACCAGTTTTATTGTATTTGTAATACATTGGACATATACTACTACAGTCATGTCTAAACATCTAAACTGAAACTGCGCGGAATAATATAAACTAAGCTAAAATAACCGGAACTAATGACCAGAGGTGTAGTACTACAATGTTTAAAGTTATGACACTCCATTTGTGTACTTATCATATAAACTTTTCAAGTGAAGATGATGAAGAATAAGCATACTACCTGAAAACTTCATTTGCATTGCGCTTGTGTGTAGAAGCTGATCAAAACTAACCCAAATAAATTTGAATTAATACACTGTGTAGTAACTCTTTCTCATAATATTAAACCAGTAACACATTCTATGAGTTTTGTTTCACTACTATAGTGACTAGAAAAGATGGAGTAAATTTTTTTTAATATTCTTCTCTAAGGGGCTGATATATACAGTAATAGTTGAATAATGATTCCAGTTAGCATTATTCGAAGACTGAATTCATGCAGAAAATGTGATGCATTTTCTCAGTGAGCTTTAGGACGGTCTCATTACAATTATACTTTCTTGTTCAAACTATGTGAAAGTGAAGTTCAAATAAACAAAATAATACAATATAACAATTGGCTCTAGTTTTGTTAGCATAATGCAATAATTATTACAAAGGTAGGTTAAATGTAACAATAAACTGTTCTTGTATTATTATTATATCCTTTAATTCCTAGGGGAATATAGAGCTTCAGCTGCGTGTCTCCATTGCCATCGGCTTTCTGCCAACGTTTTCACCCAGCTCCAAGTCACCCCACCCTATCACTGACGACCAACTCGCCACCCGCTTCCCTTTCGGGTTCCACTCGAGCAATCAATGGCTTGTCTAGTGATGTCACTTGATGGTTTCCTCAGAGTATGACCACATTCCAATCTACCTCCATTTCTTCCTGCCTATTTGTTTCACAATCAGTTCCTGGTTGGTTCGCTCATTGACAGAGATCTCTGTTGCTGATCTTCTCTGGCCGGCCATCTGATCTTGAGTGGTATTGAGCGAAGACAACTGCTGTTGATGAAGGTCTGTAGCTTGTTTGAGATGCTCTTTATGACGCGCAGTGCAAGTCTCTGATCCATCCGTATAGTAGCACTGACTTACTTCACATTGGAGTTGAAAATCCGAATCTTATTTTTGATGGTGAGTGCTGTTGACCTCCACACTCACTCGAGAATACTGAAAGCTTGTCTTGCTTTTCCAATTCTCGCTTCGATATCCTCGTCAGTTCGGCCTGTAGTTAAAAAACGATGCTTCTCAGGTAGGTAGGTAGGTAAGTAAAGGAGGTTGTTTCTTTCAGTTTCTTCCCATTTATGCTGGCGTATTGTTGTCTGTTGTTGTAGTTGCTGTTGGTGTTGGCCAGGAATCTTCATCATCTCTGTTTTCTCTATGTTAATCTGAAGGAGGTTCTATCTTCTCTAGATTCTTCTTCTGCCAACTTGTTGCTTTTCACTTGCATATCTTCCAGTTTGTGGGAAATCAGCCTGAGCATATTTAGACAAACATCTCTAATAATAATTTCGATAAATGGCACTCAGAAACTATCAATATGTGATCCAAAAGAACAAACTGTTGCACCGCTAACCACAGATTGATTCTCAGAATCATGTTTTGGAGGCTTTTTTGCTCCCAATTAGCGGACACAAAATTATGTTTCCAAGCAGAAACTGTGTTTGCAAACTTTATCTAAACTATTTGAAAAAAATGTGCCTGAAGTTATTAGCAGCTGCAGTAAATTATACATTGTACTTTTTTTAACGCGAACAGTTTTACAAATGTTTATTCATATTGCATTGATTGATATGACTGAAGACATTTGGTATTTATCGAAACTCCATTAACTTTCAAAGTATCGTTTTTGTTAATGTAAGAGTAGAACTAGAAAACTGTAAAGGAATATGTTTCTATAAACGCATCTAACATTTCTATGTAAGTTTTTCTTCTTGTGATCTAAATGTAAACATAAGGATAACATATACATTGTACTGTCAAGAATTTGGAATTGTTAGTTAGTTAGTTACTATGCATTTGGCCTGTTGCACTCGAGAATGATCTAGGTGTTCTGAATACGTGTATTGCCTATGCAGGACAAAATATATAAAATATTATGTCTCTAAAGACCAAAAATTGTCATTTCTAATTAAATGATAACCTAACGCTTGCGATTGTGTCGTTGTATCTTAGTTAAATATAATATTGCGATGTTCACCACTGAAGATGTCAAAATGTAATACATGAAAGAGAGAAGTCTTCAAACAGTCATTCATTAAAATGTTTAGTTAGAGTAAGTTTTAAATAAATCCACTATTATTTTCCTGTCAAAAATGTATTCGACAGAGTCGAATGAATACGTACATCCAAGTATAGAAATGAGAATGAAAGTTAAATACACTAAGAAAGTTATTAAGGCGTTTATAAGATATGAGAGAATTTAAGATAGTCACTGCTTGCAATGCACTGATTTTCTCGTTCCATTTTTAATTATGGAGACATTACAGAAGTCATTATTAGTTGAATATAACGAATGCAGGAGTCTAGATGCTATTTTCCTCTAATAAATATGCTGACTGTTGTCATTAATTACCAGTTACTGTCAAGCTAGAGACAATCAACGTATGCACATCTATAAATTAATTGAACAGCCGTTTCCAAACAGTTATCTAAAGTGAATATATATATATATATATATATATATATATATATATATATATATATATATATATATATATATATGTAATTTAAATTCATGCAAATTAGATATAATAATTTAACTTGTGCTTACTTTTAATATAAAGTGCTAGTGGAGCCGTGGATAAAAGTACAATTAGCGGTTGACCTCCAAAAACTCCATAACATAAACCACCTATTGTTTGTGCCATTATTACACGTGTAACATCTAGAATAATGTCAATAATAAAAAGAATGTTATCTGTACGAAGACAATTTTCGATAACCTTACTGAAAATTTCATATTTCTTATGTCAAAAAAAATAGAAGATGATAAGACAATATTATTATACTACAGTTTTATAATTTTATTTTTTTTTTTATTTTTGATTACAGCTTGATTTCAAACTGTATTTTTGGTGCAAGTATGGAATTTTCAGCGTGGATATTGGTAGCCCAAATTTCACAGGTCGACCATTGATATCAGGTATGCGTCGGGAGGGGATCGAACCTCGGACCATGTGCATGGTCGTCGAGAATCCTAACCACTGTGCCACCGATGCAATTCATCACCCTACTGGGTGACATCTTCAGCGCATACTTCAATTTGAAATAATCAGCTGAGCCCAATAGAAGGAATGTATCCCCTAATTTTTCCTCATTTCTTAATGAGCATTATTTCATTTATGATGACAAAACCTTATTATATCGTATATCACTTTTTTAATTTAGAAAACCGTTTCATTTGTAAAATATTTGAGTTCAGAGCCTAATAGTGTATGTGAAAAGCGTCTACCGTCATGGGATTTTTAAGTTACATGACAGCTGTTATCTACAAAATAAAACAACAAACCTAAACAAGTATAGAAACTGACCTATGTAGACAGTAGTGTTTATGTATTTACATATAGCTAGTAGAAGAAGAAGAAGAAGTTAAGCGAGATGGTGACTTTATTTCATTCCATTGTCGTTGTTTCAGACCCAAGCAGACTAACTGTTGCTCCACATTAACCTGTTTCGTATATTTAAACACTGCCTTTAGATAAAATGTATTTTTCTTACTTATCAAACAGTAATGTTTGAGAATGTTTGTTTTTGTTGACTTTATACTTGGGAATATCCCATAGTATTGAATGAGCTATCATTAGAAGTGTATACTTAACTATCAAGAGTACATCTGGATTCAAGAGGTTCCAATTTACTCACACTTATATTATTTAATAGGGTGTGAATTTTTCCTAAACAGAAATTGGCAAATGAGCTTGAAACTGTTGCTAATACTTTGTTTACGAATAAATGGATATCTATACTCTTGTGTTTTTTTATAATAATGATTTATGATAATCTCTCAAACAGTATGATTATTTGCTATTGTTTATCCAAGTTCCTTATATTTAGAGTACAGGTGTACAGGTATATGGAAAAGTGATAATTCGCTACTACTACTTATAATATATATATATATATATATATATATATATATATATATATATATATATATATAATTAATTTCCACGCCCTACTTATTCATTCTTTATTCTTATATCATGTCAATTGTTTGGAGCCTTGTATGCATATGTTTTGAGAAGGATGTAAAGTTAATTTTAAATCCACTCTTTCTACAGATTGAAAATAATGTAGTGTTATAATGAAAACAAAAAAAGATGACACCCATCTTAAATAATTCAATTTATAGCAAAACTTTATTTCCAAACGTGTATGACCAATTTATAAATAACTAAATTTTGATGTAGTTGTTCTCTCTGAGTTCGATGGTTTATTTGCGAAGTTTTCATCGCTTTACTAGGCAAGATCTTTGATATCGTCAATCAGCCACCTGAGATACAAATCTTCTTCATCATATCTAAATGACTAAATATATTTTATTATTATTATTATTATTTTTATTTTTGGTAACAGCTTGATTCCACACTGTATTTTTGGTACAAGTATGGAATTTTCAGCGTGGATATCGGTAGCCCAAATTTCTCAGGCCGACCATAGATATCAGGTGTGCGTCGGTAGGGGATCGAACCCCGGACCATGTGCATGGTCGGCGAGAGTCCTAACCACTGTGACACCGACGCACTTTATTTTTGACGAGCATGATGATTTATAACACTCACTTTTAATCTTAATATTTTTGTTATTTTTCATAGTACAGGATTGCTTTGCCAGAACATGTATAGATTTACCACAGTTTACAGTGTATTACTTGGAGCTTTCTGTTTTGAATAGTGTGTTTGAATTACGTACTTTCAATTATTATAATTTATAAATCTTGGGATCGAAAATTACTTTACGTTTCGGCAGGAAATAAACACGAGTGAAATACAGTTTTTTATGAAAGAAAATTTATTGTTCTGACCACTTTCTACTCAGGCTTTACAGAGGTGTATGTAAATACAAAAGAGTATACAAAGAAGGAAACTTAAAATTTCTTGGCCTACAAATAGTTGCTGCGAATTATGCAGGTAGACTGAAGACGTTAATATTACCACAGCCATTATTAAATCGGTGGCCCAAATTTAGCTAACTTTGTCCAACATAATTATTTATATGAAGCATGTGATTTGTCTTTTCCTAGTAATTATCAAAATTGTTCAAATAATGGTTTTTCATATATTGAAAAATATGATTTCTTCAAAGCGGTGGCTTCACGAAATATCAAAAAGCCACGATACGGATGAATTTCACCAACTTCTCAGGGGGTTTTTAATCACTATTTATCAATTACAAAACGTCTGACATACAATGCCAGAGGAATTATTGTACCTGATTTTTTGCGCAGTTTTAATCGTTGTGAAACTCATCTTTTGAATTACATTAATTGCTTGTTATTGTAAATCTTCGTTTGTCATTGCCTTCTTGCATGTTAGAAAAAGTAATACTTCAGTGACAGACTGATGTCGCTCTCTGTAGAGAGCAGGTAAACGTTAGAAGTAAGACCTAAGTAATTTTCCTAGGTAATTATTAGATAATAATTCCATGGTTATGTGAACAGGACGCGCCACTAATCAAAATGGTGGGATGGATTACGACCCTGCTCATTTAGAATATCTAGGGGCTGAACTGCACAGGTTTTCCTCGAAACTTTTCTTTGAATGCCGACAACTGACTACCATCTTCTCAGTAATCACTTGTTATTCACTTTAAGTTACGCAGAGAAAATTATATGTGATGGCTAAAAAGGTAATTGTCTTGTGAAAATACACAGACCAGTGACTGCGAATAAGCAACTTCTTAAATTTTTAACAAAGTAGGTTCTCATAGTCTTGTCATTGAAGGTTGTATAATTAGGACTGCACTCCTGTGGTTACATAGTCGAACTGCACATCCACTATTTTATTGAAAGCCTCTTAAAAATATACTTCATTTTAATAGTAAATAACATAATAATCCTCTTTTTTTCAACACTAGTAACTTGTTTTTGTTTACAACGTAATGAACAAATAGATGTACATATCTTTACAATCTTTTAACTCACTAATACAAATTCATCTTTGTTACATTTTGTTGCGAAATTATGTGTGCTTGTAAAGTCGAATTCTTTTGTAAACAAAGTTAAGGACAAAAAGAGTGACAACGATGGTAATCATAATAATAACAATCATAATAATAATAATAAAAACAAAAACAATATAAAAGTAGAAGTCTAATACAAAAGCTATATGCCTCCCGGATCTGAGTTGTGTATAGGTAACACACGCACACCAACATGCAAACAGAGTAATTTAATTTACTCAAAGAATAGGATCAAAGTGAGATAAAAGCAAATAAGATGGAAAAGAAGAATACATAGAAGGCATAATTAAAATGTTATTTTCCAGTTTTAAAAATTTGTTCGGTAATGCCTCATCACGTGAAATTCAAAAGGTTATTTTGTTGAAATAATGTTAAGGAAATGGCTTGGATTCATTGATGCACGAAATAAAAACAAATTAATGAATCATTAAGTTGGTTAATGTATTTACTTTTTTAAAAGCATTCTGTCCACACTTATCAAGTCACCATTATTTTGAAACCTTAGTTTTCAAGGTAAGAGTGATAAGAACTATGGGAATGCATAACGTTTGCTGTAACTTTTTTTGGTTTCTCATCTATTGAAAATAGTCATAGTTTACAGTGAATGTAACGATGTGTGTTGTGTTCACACTGTTGAAGTTTAGCGTGAATTGTGTGGTATTCATGAAACATATGATTCACTAGAACAAGATTCAAGATTAGTAGTAGATCTGTCAATTGATTCTCTAAAGTCTTAGTGAGCTTTGTTGATAACACTCGTTTTTCCCTGTGAAAATTCGATTTCACACATTGATATAACACATGATAAGTATGAGGGAGCTTAGATAGTTTAGTGGGTTATGAAGAGATTATAGGAATTGGAAGGAAACTAGTTTGAGATTAGATTTCTAAAGGTGGGAAAGATTTCACAGTTCGATAATTCTATCAAGTATGAAACCTGGCTCAAGTGGTCTCTTTCAGGAATTTAGTTTGTAAAAGGATGGAAATAGCTTTCATCAGTAACTGTAGCAATAAATCAACAATTCAGGGTGTCTGATATCATGTTTAATCCAATTCAAAAATTGTTTTCATGACATATATCAGAATACAAATTTATATTGAGTTTAGATTAATCAAGACACTAGAATAAATAAATGGTTAGTTGAACTAGCAACCTCAGATCACATCATTTCTTGTAATTCGGCTAATAACGCAGATCAAATAATAGTGTGTTAAGTGATTTGGACGTAAGTAATAACGATGATTGTTGTGATAACAAAATAACGATGATAAGATTTATGTACGTGGTGATAGGAATAACGAAGGTAGTAATATATGATATGTATGCAATTTAATAAATAAATTAGATCAAATCTTAAAATTTATGTCATATTAAAGGTCAAGCGGACAGATAATCGGAGTTTAAATAAATATCATTAAAACATGAAGGAAATTGAAAATAAGAAAGGTTGTGAGGTTTTTAATGAGACATTACTAGGCTAAGGGAGAGACGAAGGTAGTACAAACGTCTTTTGTATGCAGGGATTAGGACTGTTCTCTTGAACTGCCATAGTTCCTACTATGTGCAAGAGCGAGTTCGAATTTCAATCGAATGGTTCAAAGGAATGCGATAGATAACTCTGAAGGCACTTTTTAAGTCTAACTGATAACCGCGATCAATCAAATGAGTCAAAGTAGATTTTATTTGGTCTTTTCCGAACCATG